GGAGGGGGGTGAGTATAGATGTTTGGATCCAAATCTCGGTAAATCCGGAGACTTTAAAGTTTAAAGCGCTCGTTTTTCGAACATTTCCAGCGTCCGAAGGGCCAGCGAGGCGAGAGTGGCGCATGTGCGCGCACGTGGGAGTTCATTGCGCGTTGATTCGTGGGCTGTCTGGCCTGACGTCACGTGGTTAGAGCGCTGTACGCCGTGTGAAGTCGTCCGCGAGTACCGCGACTCCCCCGGCCACCGTTGGCCAGTGTCGCCTCGTACATTGTCGGGTGAAAGTCGTCGGTCTCGTGCGCCCTGGGTGTTGACCGAAAGCCGCCGCAATCAGTTCCCGTCGCCGCCGATCGCTACTCCAGCGAACATTTTCGCGTTGGAGCAGTGCACTTAAAGCCGCCAAAATTTTACGAAGAAAGAAGTATGAGTATTAACTCCAGTCTGTCGTTAAGTAATAGTGAAAGTAGTAAAAAGCCGATAATGCCGAGTTTAATTTCCAGTAATTGGTGAGTAGCCCCGTCGAGCGCGGAGTACACGTAACTGCGCCATTTTTGCCCTCGCCTTCCCTGCGAGTCGCCATCTTGCAACCATCGTGTCCTGATCCCGTGTTTTTTTAATTTTTTTTTCTCTCCCGTTCCCTTCCGTCAAGCCCCTTTTTGTCATCCTCGCTCATCACCTCCCGCTCACCCCCTGTTTGTAAACTGTCCGCTCCCGCGCCGTGTAATCGTCGTCGTCATTGCGTTTCTCTTTGTCAGGCGGATCGAAATACGAGACTGCCTGTGCGTGGCATTGTCGGCCACGATCGCCGATGTTATCGAGTTCGCTGGAAAGAATGCGGCTGGATGATATGACGCGAGATCGTTATTCGAGCCCGTCCGTGCCGTGACGGGACGTCTCTCGAGACGCGATCGACGATCGGCCACGTGACCGCGAAGCGAACTCGTCTAAAAAATCTATTCCGCGTATTTACGGTACTCACTTGTCAGCCAGGCTCAGCGGCGTTGCCTCATCAGCTGTTCCGTTAGACGATCGGCTGACCATACCTGCCTGGTTTTTTAACGGCACGACGCGTAAACGCCTGCCCGAAACCGATCCTCTTCAAACCGACGTCACGTCCCGTCTAAATATTTTGCAATCGCGCTCACAAGGGGAAAATGAAAACTCCTGACTATCGATGTCGACACGTGGTGTCAATAGAAAATGTACGTACATATCGGTTTGCGACAGTCGTGCGAAACTCTCGAAATATAGATTCCCGGAACGAGCCGACCATCTCTCACCTCACCCTCCTTCGCTCGCGACCTTCAACTCTCCGGGCAGCCTCGTGTAAAACCAGGGCATATACGTGGGACAGGGAGCGGGATTTAATCCGGGATTTTCAGACTACGGACGGGGTGCTTAGTCCGTATCCGATTTAAGATCTTATCAAGATCTCGAGCCAGTAATTATTTCATTGGCTGAATCTCAAGATTACTTAAGACAATCTTGTGATGATAAATGAAATAAAGCCTTAGGCCAATAGAACAATCTTAGAATAATAAAACCTTCTGTCGACAATGCTAGAAATCGCTCCCGAGATCGCGGACGGAGAAATTATTGACCGATCGCATTGACCAATTGGCCGAATTGTTCGAATGCGATTTGTTATATTCTTCGTCCAAGACGTTCCATCGAATGGCGATTTGTTAAATTCTCCGTCCAAGACGTTCCATCGATCTCGGAACGATTTCTAGAATCGTCGGCTCGCACGAGGCTCTAGATCGGAATTAAAACTTTTAGACATGAAACTATATCCTACGAGTCGACATTCTCCCACGGAGCCACACACGTCACCCTACACGCATCACCTTTTTCTTTATTGATCTATATCAGATTGTTAAAGATATCGCTTCGAAATGCTCTAGCTATCTAATCTAGAAACAATCCTGTTGATTCTAAAACAGCTTATCTGAATAAAAGCGTGTGTGTCACACCGAGCGTACCGTTTGGTCAATCGACGCACAATCGTGGAACTTTCCATATTTCGAACACCGATGACCTAACGGGCGGTTTTTTGATTAAATTTAACGTGAAAACGGCTGACCAGAAACGTATAGAAACTTTCCGTCGGTAATGTTTCCTCGCGATTAATTTTACGGATCTCGTCACTGTTTCCATTATCAGACGGCATTTAATCGGCTTCGAAATCGCGCAGCCAAATGCGAGATACGCATCATCCTCAAAAGTGATGAAACAAAGTCCGTAAACAAAGAGTACAGGCAACATTTCGCGTCGTTTGCTTCACTTTATCAACTATCTAATCGGCAATCTGAAACTTTTTTCTTTTAAGAGAAATGAATGAAATGTATTGACGTAAAACACGTTTAGATTTGCAGTCTCATTAATCTCATTATTTACAATTTTCGAAACGTAATTGCTTGAATCATTCGCGTGTATACTTCTTAATTCAAATATATGCACTGTGATTTATGAATTGTACACCGTATATATGATAATTTAATTACAAACTATATAGGAACATTCTTATATAGACCGTATGTGTCACCTCACTTACCATCTGCTCTTTGTTACAGCAGAGCTCACATGTTAGTTGTGTAATAATTAGCTCCGACGTAATAGTTTAGCAACGATGATTAGGCGTGATGTAACGATTTCTTCGAATGCTCTCGTGGAAAAAACAGATGTACGCGGTCTGCATTCTGAATTTTTCCAACAGTTTTACTCGTGCTCCTTTAGCCAGAAGAGCGAATATTTCGTACGTGTAGCGGATATTCGAGAGTGTGATATTCGACTTACTATGTAAAATGCAGGAAGTATCGGGAAAATTTTAAAAGAAGGATAAGAACGTTCACAATTACTTGTAAAAAAAAAAAAGGTTTTTATTGTGTGAGATAAGAGAGCTCTATAGATATCGTTAATGAGGAAAATAACGAGGATGATCGATATATCTGTGATTCACACTCCCTTAGCGGTTTACGCGATCGTGTGTTCACTTTGCGTGAAACGGGCAATGCGCCGTTAGAGCAGCGACATTGGCTTTGTGCTTTCTTTTACAACGTCACGTTTGCCTCGTGCCTCCGGTGCCAATCGATATGCGACCCAGCAATGTGCCGCTTTATCTCACGGTTACATCTTCCGCGAGCGAAACGTGATTTCCGTCAGCTGCTTCGAATTTATTGACGATTGTCCTAAATCCGACGATACTGAAACGAGTAAAGAGAGGAACGCGCGACGAGTCGCGTTCGCTCGAGCGTATTTCTCGAAGGCGATAAATAACGCGCACGTGATTCTCACTACGAAATCATATCCGTCGTATCGCGACACCCCGTCATATGCGAACAATGGATAAAGTTCTATCTCGCAACTTCCTACATTTTGCTTACTTGATAAAAAGAATTATTATTAGATATTCCGCATCATGAAGCTCGCGCATTTATGCCCTTCTTAAAAGGCTTCAATAATTAAAAAAAAAAATTTCTTTAAAAAAATAAAATAAATAAACGAAATTACTAAATCCGCATATTCGATTACGCCATACTTATTTTTCGTCCTTATTGAGAAATTATTTAACGATTTTAAAAATTTGGAAGATTCTTTCGTGATATTCGTTACATTTTGTGTTTTTAATACAGATAATTTATAATCGTACTTTGTACTCGAAGTATCGTAATCTATTTTCGGCTGCATTATCATCGCTCTCAACTCTACGTGATAAGGAAAATTTATTTCTTGATAATCGTAGAGTGTTAACAGCTTTTGCGCAATTATGTCAACGTCAATTACCATATATCTTACCATATATATTTATTTCATTACAGTATTTCTTTACAGTTTACATAATCCGAATAGACAGCAAATAAGACAATTAGACCGTAATTAAGGAATGAGTCATTTCTCGTGCAATAACACATACATATTTAATTAACAAACAATGATGCCATATAAACTTTGAAATATTCGCATCCATATTATTTTCGGGTCTTTTATTTTATATTATATTGCAAATAGATTTTAATTTATTACTCGTTGAAATAAACGCGATGATTACTTTTGATGTTGTAATCTCATTATCAGTGACCAATTCTTGGACGAGAATCTCCGCTTCTAAAGTCCACTTTTTCAAGTTAATCAGTTTAAAACAACGGATGCAGACCTTTTTGATTAATACGCATTGTAACGTTTCTTCGTGCGACGTATCCGCTTTAAGATGAGTCGCTACGCTAAACGGCTGACTGCGAGTAACAGTCGAAGACACTTTGTCCCGTGGAAGAGTACAATTGGATGATAAGCTGGAGGCGTGTACGCCTCTAATTAAATTTGCCAATCGGTTCCGAGAAACTTCCAGAACGATTAATAAAACGCGAGCTCGTGCAGGAACGCGCAAGGTCGCGTTGCTGCACGAAGTATATCCGCGGGGCACGAAGGCGAAAAAATTATTCTGGAATTAGTTTGATTTCGTCATCGTGCACGATTTCATGCACGCGAAATATGAACGTATGTCGTTTCTTTTCTCTCGAATTAGATATCGAAGAAATCGAGTAGGCATGTTCTTTTATCACAATCTCACATATCGCAGAGCGAACGATGAATATTATCTCCGATATATTAAACCGTTTAAACGTAAATAGATGACCTATTGTCACGTTCCGCGTACATCGATAACATTTGAACTTGGAAATGGCTTCTAATCATATCTCCGATTTCCGCTAGAGACCTCAATGTATACGCTTGATTACTAATTATAATGGACGGCTCTATAAAATTTACTTGTTACGTAATTTTTTTTAATCGGAGATCATGCACGATATCGCTGCTGGAACGCACTCGATTTTTGTCGTTTATAAGTCTCACAGCGCTAATTATATAACGGAGATAAATAGGGAAATCGCGGTTTGTTAGTTAAATCTTCTTGTATCTTCTTGATATTGCCAATACGGACAGTATCTGTCATCGATATTTTTTTTTAATCCTCGTTTAAAATCGTAATCTTGCGTGATATGCCACGTGATTGCAATCGCTGTTGTAAATATTGACATAAGGAAAATATCTCGAATATTGATACACTGAAATGCTATCTCTTTCATTCTGATAAATTACCGCGAATTATCGTTATTCAAAACATAAGATATGGCTATCGCATAAATATTCTTACGCCATTGTTTGAGGCGACATGTTAATGTGTAATGGTTATAAGATGTAGATCCCTATTAATATTATTACTTTTAAATAACCTGTTTGCCTTAATTGCTGCGCACGCATACATACATATATATATATATATATATATATATATATATATATATATACATACATACGCGCAAGCGCAGTAGCAATATATTTATAAATTGCGCATGTCGCATAACTTAATCTCATTTACAATGTGTTGCAGGTATACATTTACACGTTTTACGTAAGCCTGATATTTCCTAATGTCAAGGCGAAAACTGCGAGGCAAAACTGTAGAACATTAAGCGTAGAATGTCCGGCCAAAAGCGCTGTAGATGCAAAAGCAAACCGACCGGTCACACACACACACACATCTCTCTGTTTCTTTCTCTCCTCTCCTTCTCTGCCTGCAACGCGCAAAACACGCATTATTTGTTTGGCGGAGCGCCCATTTGAATGACGTCGCGGCCCAATACGCGGCTCAACAATACCCGGCCCGGTAATAACACGCGTGTACCTTATAAATCGCGGACGTCGGTTGCCTGGTGCGGTAGTCGCTCATTTTCCCTTCGACCGTGGATTTCGCGTTTTCCCCGAACGGCTTGGCCGCGGTAGACGAGACTCGACGGGACGTCGTATCGTCATATCGACGGAAACTCCCTACCGCGTTCGCTATATCTCGCTGAAATTTCCACACTCAAAATGCCAAGGTAGACAACATATCTTATCTAGGTTTCTTTTATCCGCACATTCTCGAGACAATCTCGAGGCAAAAACGGCGTGTTGATCGATGACACACGCCGACGATGACAGGCCAGCTGCGTATTTCGATCACCTGTTATTAATAAACGTTTAATAAGATTATAGATACACCGCGATTTGCGGTATATCTAGCCCGCGCGATAAGCCGATTGATTATCCTTGGCCTGGAGCACAGAGCAAAATGCATCCTGAAATTACATAAGCACTCCATCGAGAATTTCAAGATTCTTGGCAGTACCTATACCCAATGTGTTTATGCTCCGAATACGTCAGCTTCTCTTTAAAGAACAACACCTTGCCACGTGACGTCCGTCGGACGTTCATACATTCGCTGAAAAAAACAAATATTTGCTTATCGATTTTAATAATTTACCTTTTTTTTTCCTCTATCGCAATCCTCAATCATGCTTTGCACGTCCTTGAACATCAATAAGTTATAAATAGATAGCGCTGTTTATTTATTAAAAAAATGATAAATTCTCTTTAAATGTATTGTCGACATAAGATTTATATAGAATTTTTGTTTCTAAAAATTAAAATGTATATTGCAGTGAAATGTCTAGTAAATGCATGGACGAGAGCCTAGAGGAAGGCTCCAGGCTGCAACAGCACTACTGTATAACGCTGGGCGTGGGGCCTCTGTGGTGGTCCTGATGTGCCCCATGCCGCATTGTCTGTATCTACAGTCAACACAGAGAGCCGCGGCGTGGGGATCAAGCAGAGTCAGCTCTCTGTGAGCTCCCACATTGTGCAAGTACGTACATATACTTTTCACAAGTTTAAAAGGAGATCCTCGGAAACGATAACTCACTTACGACTGCGAAATAAATATTGGATGAGGGCCAAATTTCTAATTCTCCGCATTTTTCTTTGTCCGACGTACAGGAGGATGAATTATTGAAAGCTGTGAGAAGCAACGAACCATTGCGTCTAACGTTCACTCTTCACTTGACCGAGAGTACATCCGTCGAGTGGGAGACCGTAGCATGGCGCCGCTGTCTATACATTCGCGTACCAAGCTGCCTTCTGCCCGAAGGATCAAAAGAGGGCTTTGTCTCTCTCCTAGAATACGCCGAGGAAACACTGCGCTGCACCAATATCATTGTCTGCCTTCGCAAAGATAGATCGGACCGAGGTACTTGTCGCTTGCCGTTCTTCGGCACGAACGTTGAAGACTTTTGCGTCGACGCGAAAGACTCACCGTCTAAATCGTTCTGTTGTTATGGTCTAGCAATGCTGGTTCGTACCTTCATGTTCTTGGGTTTCACGGTCCTGCCGCCAACTCATGCCTTGGTACCGCCAGGCAGTGACGCTGGCAATCTCTACATGCTCTATGCCATCGAGTAATCGGCAAGCGGTTCTGCCTCTCTCAAATTTAACGCGCAGGTATTGATTCGAGCGAAGAGATAACTGAGTTTCTCAGCTCTGCGAGTTTCTTTGCTACATGATTATTTAATCAACTCGTTTTTCGTTCGCTAATCACTTTCTCCTCGCTTTCTTATGAATTTACGATGATATGATTTCAGATAATTAATTTTGTATTTTGTTATATTTTTTTATTACAGGTACTACCATATTATCAGGTCTAAGGTAAAAATTTGAAAAGAGGGACAATTGGACAATTCTGGGAAACGGCATATATTTTTCTTTTATATTTTAAGTTTTATTATGTATATATAATTTGCGTTCTCTTATTTGTTGCAAATTGAGAGAGTCGTAAATTTCGAAAAGAATTTATGAAACGATTATATCAAGTGCAGAAAAACCTCGGCGTTAAATTGAAGAGGCTTGAGAAAACAAAAAAAAAATTATAGTCGCGAATACGTAGAACGCGTACATAAAAGGCTTTCAATGGGTATATCGATTCATTCTCTTGAACACAATGTTAATAACTCTTATAAGAGCATATAAACTGCTGACAAAGCTTCCCACGTGAAAGAATTTGACGGAATCTGTAGTCGTATTGAACAACTGAACACGGCGACCAACTGTCAAATTTTAGAGAAAATTTATTATCGATATATCTCAATGTTAATTGTGGCAGATTGGGTATCACCGCGTTTTTCTCCGTAATACATGTATAAGTACATTTGCTTATTTTTAAGTATTATCAATATGTATAATCTAGACATTCTAGACTTTAATATCTGTTATGTAAGTACCAGTAAAATTTAATAAGTTATGATCGTTTCTGTCATCTAAAAACGACATCATTTGTAAACTTAATTGACTGATATTCTTTACGAAATGTGCAATTATCTTTCTATTATACTAGTTTTGTGAATAATTCATGTTTCCGTTCATGAAGTACAAAGAAATTGCGTCAAACATCAAGTAAAAATAGAACAAAATTTTCGTGTCCGAGTTTGATTTTTCGTAGAATCTGAACCTTTGTAAAAAGATTTTTCCAACAAAATGTATTTTAATAAATTGATTACTAATTAACTGAAGACTGTGCTTGCTACATCAGTAGCAGCACAGATTTGCAAATTTGACACTATGTATCAAAAACATCATGATTATTATAACGCTGATAATCGGACACGAGGAATAAAAACATTTCGCACACATATTTTCCTCAAAGAATTTAAAATTGAAAGGTACTGAATCATTATAAATCTTATTTATCGTTATGTATAAGCACTATATCTTATTTTTTTTTATAGTACATTCTTAGGTGATAGTATATCTAAGTAATAGTATATTTGGTAATTCCCAATCAGTTAACATTGAAGAGATCTTGCTAATAAATGCGTTCTTTAGTGTTGACTTGATAACAGACAACGTGAAAAAAATATAAAAATGCAAAAAAAAAATGAAAAATGTATCAGAAAAAAAAAACAAAAAAATGTTAATAGCTTATTAGGAATATAGATAAAGATAAGTACAGAGTGACGGACTATTGTATGTTAACTTCACGCAAATAATTATCGATTTGCCTCAAGTTTTTAAATTGAACAATTCCGTGCATTTTATCCCGTCAGTTAGTATTATATATTCGTACCTCTGACCATACATATGAACACATACACACGTCCGCACATACACACACATGACACACACATACACAAAAGTGAATATGTATGCTACGTTTCTTATTCATACATGAAAACATATAATTGCTAAATAAACATTTAATAAAACTCACTATATTGTTACTTTTTACTTACCAAATCTACTGTGGAATTTTATTTAATTAAACGATAAACTCAAGTGATAAAAATAAAATGCGGAATACGCAAGTGCTTTTATTTAATACAAAAACTGTTCACAAAACGCATTATTGAAACATTATTAATTAAATATAACTATAGTATAACGACTTCTAACGTAATGAAATTGATTGTAAATATATATAGGTCATTTGTGCAAAAAATATTGCCGCAAGTGTTGAAATTTGGCATAATATATAATTTTATTAGCATCAATATACAAAACAATATGATCTTGCTTAATTTAAGTAGATAAACTACATAATTCAATATATTTGATACTTTCGAAACAAAAATTAAAAGTTAAATGTTTACTATGTTTACTATTATGCTGTCGTTTACATTTTTCGTTGATTCAAAATTTCAGATGTAGTAGAATCGCCAATTCATGTTTTAATATTCATATGTATATAAAAAAAAAGTTAGATGCGTTATACATCTCTTTCAAAATTTGATGTCTATTTATATATGTTATTCATCACAAAAGCGGTATTTCTTGTTTTTTGTTGCATCTAATTGCGTGGATTGGATTTCTCGTTTGCATCAGATTCCTACAATCAAAAACAAAGAATGAGAAAAATAAAAAGTATTATACAAAAATATGTCGTACCTCAGATACGGTTCTCGGAACTAATCCTAAACTATCGAGCATACCAGATGATGCCGATTCTTTAACGAAACGTGCCGACATTTTTTTACACTTTATCAAGTGTCTCGCTGCAACGTAAAATCATTTGAAATTAAGCGACTGATATAATACCGAATATATATTACATTCTTTTTCACAACTAATATACCTAATCGATTGCCATCAATCGACGTGTATCCACATGAGCATTGCAGTTTCTTATCTAGCGGGATATTAACTAAAGGAGATGGCACGATCAGACTGGTTTTCGGTCTTTCATTATGAATTTGTTGTTGATGTTCTTGGAATGCGCGCCAACAACACGTCACATAACGGCACTGTTGACATCGTTGCTCACCTCTGTGTGTCAATTTACGTTATTCAAGAATGCTGATTTTAAGATCAATATACTTTTTAGGACAATATACTTACGGATAATGTTCATATTCGTCAATATCTTCTTCACATTCTTGGCAGGATAAATATTTGACGGAAGTGTTCACCATAATTGGTCTAGTATTCCACCTTTGTATTTTTTCATCTGGTGGTAATTCGGGTTGAGGACTATCTACAGAAAATCGTGTCGTCTCCAGTATGTCTTTCGTGACCATTATACCACTATTGCCGGCAGAATATGGTACCGCTTCTGTATATTCATTTTGCAAGCAAACAAAAATTGCAATTTTTTCATATAATATCAATCGTATCAAATCGTATTTTAAAAAATTAACAAATGACACAATCGATATGAAATACATATGTAAATTTTAAATTTTGATTAATTTTTTACCTATATAAATTCTAATATCCTACGAGCTCCAAACATCAGCGGATATACGTAAGAATATATAGGTCAATATCTTTTTTATATATAGCTTAAATTTGAATATAATATGAATATATTTGATTATACATATAAAATATATATTTACTTGAATTACAAACGTAGTCGTGCAACTTCCGCTGATGCAGTGCTAAGGAACTCTTTTGGTTAAACCAGAGACAGCATCTTGAACATTTGTTGCCTTTTCCTTGATCCCTTCTTACGATGTGCCTTTGCATATGCGACAAGTAAGCGTAAACGTTGGATGCGTTCGGATTGCCCTCGTTCACAAATTGTATCACCTTTTTGAAATAGTAAAGTCACATTAATCCACATTGATATAACCATAGACTTATGAGATCTTATAAGTCTATGGATATAACAATGAGAATTACATCCGTATTTTTCTTTTCTTACTTTAAGACAGTACGGACATTGCAATCCTTCGCCCTTTTCGTGGATTTTATAATAATGATCTATAACATCTTTATGACTGGATGTACGATAGCCGCAACTTTCGCACTGATACGGCATTTCGGAAGGATAATGCATCAACGACAAGTGATCGATTAACGATTTGCTCTTTCCTGAACGAGAAACGTGTACAAATTCGATTACCTCCCGTTATATTTACTTATCTTATTTATCTTCGTAATTACGGATTGCAAATTGGTTTGAAAATATTAGCTCACCGTATTTCTCCTCGCAAATAGCGCATACTACCATGATGCTATCGGAATGACCGAAATTACTGTGTGTTTCCGACACATGAGTACGCAACTGATGCTGGGACGAAAGCGGGGTGCAACAGTATCGGCATACCGACAATTCCAATTGACCCGGTACTTGCGGTGGTACATGACTAACCATATGCTCCATCACTTCGGTATTAGATCTCATTACTGTCGTGCAGAGGAAGCACTAAACCCCAAAAAAATATATATCAGACGTAATAAAATATGCTGATAATATGATATAAAAATTTTTAACAAACCTTGAAATATAAAGAAATCTTAGGTTCCTTTACGATCAGGTTCTTATCGCCTTCCATTGTAGCATAATATAATTCTTGGAGCTGAATTTGTTCTTTCTCGCTTTTATTTTCATCCTTATTACTCTTATCAATTACTGCTCTTTTTACTTCGTGTTCCGGAGTTGTCACGGGATGAATTCGTTTTCTTCCTCGGCGCACAACTTTTGTCGCAGTAGTCTCGGAGGTTTTCTGGGATGATGCTACATCAGCTGAATCTTTTGAGGATGACTCAGCTACCGGAATGGAATAAGACCAGTCTTTAAATGGATTAGCAGCGACCTTTGACAGGCGATCTAATAAAGATTCATCTGGAAAGATATACAATCTTTTTACTCGATAATCCAAGATTGAATACGCGTGCAATCAGAAATTGTTACATTCTTATCATGTCATCGGTGACATTTTTCACTCACAGGATTCGATTCTAGTTTGTTCCGCAATATGTTTAATAATATTGTCAAACGCACGCTCCGCTGTAGCGCCATACATCTCCCTCCATATTAATTCATCTAAGAACTGTTGTATCATTTGCCTACTGAGCAAACTCAATGTGTTCTGAAACATTCTCGGCACAATTTTTCTGAGATACTCCATGATATGGTAATTGCTCATGACACTTCTAGCGCTCTGCTCGGAAAATGCAGACTGCGTGACGTGATTATAGCCCATATCTTGCAACGTGCTCTTGTCGACAGTGTAGTCGGTCATTATTTTGGAGTCTGTATGGACCCATTCTTTCAGTGGGTGTAGAATATTGTTAAACCGTCTTTTAAACGATCTATCACCGTCCTGTATCGGCTCACAGGCGCGCAATCGTATGTCCAACGTGGAAGGATCTAGAACGCCGAGAACCTCGACTTTCACCTAAACCACGAGAGCCGAAAATTCGTCATTATCTAAATTTTCATCCTAGAAATGAGAATATCAAAATATTTTTCACCTGTCGCAAATGTCCGTCTTGCGATGTCGTGCCTAAACTAATCACACCGACTTGTATCACTGAATTTTTACCGCCCATCTTACGACTTTTGTCCCACACCGCCGCTGTGCAAATGCTACGTAGATTTGTATAAAAGTTCTTTAGGTATATATTGGAAACTTTCACCCAGGAGACTACGTTTTGCACGTTAGTTTGACACGCCCAGTGATAAATCAATTTTAACAAGACCGTAGGCGTGTAGTGGGCTCCTTGGAAAATGGAACCGGAAAAAACGGAGACGAATCTGTCGGGACAACAACTGGAAATCCAAACGTAACCGCCGGAGTAGGGAAACGTTCCCTGATCACTGTACATTCCTAATTTGAGTTTAAGCCTCTGATAGCCTGGGCCGTGCTGCAAACAGTATTGCTCCGATTTTACTAACCCTTGCTGTATCAGCCATTCGGCGAATTTTGTGGCGGAATACATGAGAACATTCTTAACTTTGGCATCTAAAAGATTTCGGTTATTAATACACATTTGATGTTGCATTATTTGTATGTTGGTTGACAAAGTAAAAAAAAAAAGAATATACCTAATGCTTGTCTTTCTTTTTGTGCAACTTGCGGCTGAAGGTCTTTGATACGTAAATTTGGTCGTGCTACTACTACCAAGGATGGGAAGGTTCGGCCGCCAGTTGTTTTGTTAAATGTAAATTCTCTGCCGTCAGGCTGATTCTTCTTGGCTTCGTCCATCTGTTCGCTTACTATAAAAAAATATTTCGTAATGAGTAAAATAATTATCCAAGATATTAACATTTCTAAAAATAATATTACATTGCTTCCGGTTTTAACCTGTATTTTTGCTGCCGATGGCTATTCCACCTATACTAGTGTGTTCTGTAGGTTTGACAGTCGATTGATTCACTGCCTGTTTATTGATAGACTTTACTCTGAGATTTGACACACCCTGAGAGGTAGTAGCTGAGGAACCTATATTAATTTTATTAGTTATAATTTTCTGTCTTAGCTTCCTTTTCTTTCCCCTTCTATCTACGAATTAATTTAAAAAATACTACATTACCCTTACTTGATGTGACCTGCGTCGATGGAGGCTTTGATTTCACGCGACTAACTGTGGGTGCAGGCTGTAAGAATGAAAAACAATATATGCATTTATTAATTACTAATTAATTGGTGCAGAAATTCTGTAACTTCTAATTGTAAAAATCATACCTCTTCTATAATATCAGGTTGCTGCACTTGAAGAACCTTTGACCTACGGCCAGATCTGGTGTATTTAAACTGTAAAGATATTAATACGTTTAAAATAAAAAAATATTAATGTGTAATTATTGTTAAAGATCTACTACTTTTAATAAAGGAAATACAAATAGAATTGTACATTCTCTTGTTGAGGTTGTGCCACAGTCGAAGCCGCAGATGTGGTTGTAGTAGTTGTACCTGAAACTGTATTTAAGGCAATTTTACTTCACAATATTTAATATATTTAAGTAACTTTCGATATATATTCTAATATAAATAACAAATAGTTCATTACCTTGAGTCTTGCTAACAGGTCCCAAAATAACTCCCATACGCGGATCAACTACCAGTTGGATATTCCCCTGAGTTACTCCACTTGTGTTACCAATATTCAATTTAATTGGTGCTGCATTCTTGTTTGATTGGGCCTAAAAAGTAAAAAGAAAACATTATGATTCTGTACCAAAAAATTATGTAGATATAAATTTGTTTTCCATTATAAAGTTTACACTAAAATACTTACGACATTTAAAATCTGAGCGTTGTTCGGAACTACTGCTGGCGTCGGCGCTGACGCTGGTGTAGGCCTGCAATATTAATAAATTACGTAATAATTACATTTGACACTATTTCTTCATTCTACGATTAGATACCTACAATGTATACTGATAACCACTGACATTCCCCGCTTGGCACACCACTTTACCTCCGTCTTTAACCAATTCTTCCAAGATACCTGCAACCTGGTAGCAGAAGGATCGATGTATAATACATGTTCATGTTACGTAAAAAAGAAAAAAGATTGACAGGTAAAATATTGACAAGTAATTTACTCTATCACAATCCTCTTTGAGCTTCGTTCTTAGCTTCTTCTGCGCTTCGCTTAGGGGCTCCTCGGTACACTCCAAATTCAACGTCATGTTGACCGGACGAGTGTTCAAGACGGAGCGCGAAAATATCCGTACTTTCGGCATTTTGTCCATATATGCTTGCGTGAAGAATCATGGGCATGAAACGTGCGATTAAATCAAAGCCGACTTGTTACGCATCTCGTAAACGATGAATTTTACTGGAAATTAGAAAAGTAGGAATAAACAAAAACAAAAGTATGAATCCTCTTTAACTTAGAGATTACTGCAAATCGCTTGTTACAATGTCAATTATCCGTAGAAGGTATGCAGATTGTACACGGATTGAATTGGTCCCCACTATCGGCTCCTCGACGTCGCTATGTCTGTTCCAAAAAGAACATTCGGCCGATTGGGAAGCGCTGATGGGGAGGGCGCCGTTCCGGATTCCAGATCGTCGCGTGTCCCCGGCTACTGGCCTTACCTATCGTTTCAGCCGGCTTGCGGACAAGAGCGACAAGTTTCTCAATACATCCGGCAAAAATCCGCCGACTCACACGGAGCTAGTCAAACAACACGTAACCTAACCGCGCTGGAGAACCAGGCGGCAAAAACCTCGACGGCACTCGACGCTCGCAAATACGATCCTCGCGTCCTCGTGCCGAGCGCGGCAACTTTTAGCAACAATTCGCGCAGATATTTTACATCACGAACGGTCGATCATATCACGTTCTACAGTTATCTCTGAATTTATATTTATAATTACGTGCACAAAATTGCGAACACGTTGTGAATCTTCAATTTTATTTTATGATGGACGCAATTTACACACACGCACGCACGCACGCAGCAAACGCGAAAAACATAAAACATCGAAGAATTATACATACATTTCCGGATTTATATGAATAGATATGAATAAAATATGATTGATAATAAATGAAGACTATACATATAAACCGTGTTTAAATAAACAACATTTATGTTTCTTTAATAACGCAATGATTTTTTTCGAAAGATCATATAAAAAAATTATCCGATATAATTACAAGATTACAAACAATAATTTATATTTCGTAAGATTAAATGTATGTTGCATTATGCAATTCTGCGTAACCACTTGTCAAGCTCTTCGGTGTCGACTGACGCTTCAGGATCTTTATTAAAAACGTACGATTCCGCAAAATCAATTCGCGAGTCCAAATGTGAGAATTCAAAGTGCTGTCCCTGTTTCCCAAGGAAGACGTTGTTCGACGACGCGTCGGTGGCCTCCAATTGACTAGTCTTTGTCATTCGCAGCAGATTCAGCTCCTTCTCTAATAGCGTTTTTATCACCGCGCATCCCTTAGCCATAGTTTGATCCTGCTTGTTGCACAATATGAGAACGGGAACGTTCTTCTGTATATCGGAATCTGACAATAAATTGTACAGATATCTGCAGAGAATTATTAATCAAATAAATTTTTTGGAACTTAATTGAAATTTATATTAAATTTGTACAAAATATTCCTGTCAAGAGGTTTCATTTAAATTCCTATACTTACTCAACCACATCATTTCATTTTAATTCATTTTTTTTTAAATTTCATTTAAATTCCTATACTTACTCAGCCACATCTCTGATCTCCTTCTGAATAGTCACCGAATCGATCACGTAAACCAGACCTTTGACAGATGATTTGTACTTGTCAAAGTACTTGCCACGCAGTCGTTCGTCTCCAGGAATATCCACTATCCTCAAGGAACTCTAAGCAAATGTTTTTTATGAGAACAATTATGGTAGATAAATTAATAATTATAGATCTAATCTATCATAAAATATTGCTTAAATCTTACATTATTGACCATGATGTTTCCTACATTTTCCTTAACAGATGTGTACGTCTTGACAAATTTGGAGCCTACTAATCTCGCATAGATCACAGTTTTTCCACCGTCACTGAGGCCCGTCAAAAGAATACTGTGGCCTGCAGATTTCCTCTTACGCCAGAATACAAATAAAGCTGTACGAATTAATTTAATTAAAGTAGCAACATTATATGTAAGAGAATAATAATGTAATGTCATATGTAAGCAAATAATTCAAGCTTAAAAAAGAATTTCCTCCCTAACACATTAATCAAGTTAATATTATTCGAAAGACAAATCGTATTTTTAAAGTTAAAGTATTAGATTAAAGAAAGTTTTCATTTAAGTTAAAGTATTAGACTAAAGAAAGTTTTCATTTAAGTTAAAGTATTAGATTAAAAAAAGTTTTCATTTAAGTTAAAGTATTAGATTAAAGAAAGTTTTCATTTAAGTTAAAGTATTAGATTAAAAAAAGTTTTCATTTAAATTAAAAAAGAAAGTTAAAAAAATTAGAATATACTTTTCACAAGTTAAAAAAACTAGTCATAGTAATTTTAAAGATACCAAAAAACATATTGAATATATAAAATAAATTCATAGAATGAGAGCAGAATAATCTCAACACTTAATAAATAAACATGCAGTTTACCTAACACTATAAGAGCAAACGCAGCGGCCAGTAAGGCCAGATGTAGCGACTGCGAGCTGCCATCTCCTTCCAGGAACGATTTTATGGATTTTTTCATAATCCTGATTCGTGATTTTCTCAAATCCTACAATCTCACGTGGACATATGCCGATCATACCAGATCTTGTCAGAGGTTATACACGAACGTGTATACCGCAGTACCGGGAGAAAAGTGTAATCAGAGAGGATCCCTCTGATTTCACGATGCTATAAACTGCGACATCTGTGAGGGCCGAACTGTGAACGCATTTATCGAAAAAATTTACCCGTGAGACTTATATCGACACAACAATTTATCAATTGCTAATACAGATCTCGAAAGGATTTTATCGCATGGTAACAAATACACGAGTGGAATTTGTTGAAGTTTGAACAGAAGTTTGGACGAGTTCCGTAAAGATGTCGCTGTTTAGACCGAATTATGCTCCTAAGGCAGCGCCTCCCCTCCACTCGCGGTATGGCGCTATACTTTACGGCCTTTACGCTACTAGTTCGCCGCACGTAACGCGCGTTTAAATTTTTCGTCGAAATAAAGTATATTTCCTAACCTGTAACGAGCATCGTCCGCGTCGCACGCAATGCAACAGGTGAGCCTCGCGTTTCGCGATTGTTTACCCATCTCAAGCGCGTCGCGGGTGCAACGAAGGAAACGACTAATCGCGGGATCGTGATTAGACACGATTTCCCAATCAACTCCGTTTTCACTCGAGGCCACGAAACGGCCGAGCAATAATGGCGCGATTCGCCCGGTGAGTAAATTCGCTTGTCGTAATTTTGCAAATAACGCATCAATATTGATAAGAGTCCGATATTGATAGACGCGACAAGATAGAGTCGCGTTCTCGTACGAGAAAGAAGGTACGAGAAAGAAGGTCGAAAATCGAACTTGCCGATGTCGATTTCCATTCTGATTCGGGTAAACGCAGCGAAAAGATCTGGGATCGTACCGACGATTCGTGATAAATATATCGGCGAGCAGGCGAAAATCCGCAACGGATAGCTCGCCGCGGGCGTCACGCGCGGAATGCGCTGTCTGATCTTTCTCCTCTTTTACAGGTCGTTCGTGTCGTTTCTCGAGCACGACGGAGATCCCTCCTGAGGCATCCCTCGCGCGCATGCATCCATCCCGATCGAAGGGACGCGGAAACCGAGCTCCGCGCGCGCTCGCGTTTCCGTGCGGACGCGCGGCGAACGAGGAAGAGGGTCCGGCCGGCGCAACGCGGGCGCGCCTCTCCGTCGACTCCGTCACGTCCGTCGTATCCGTGAATTTATTGCACGCCGGCCGCGGAGATGCACATCCGACATCCGGACATTTCGGATCCAATCCGCGAACCGACTCGCCGCTGCGAAACGCCTTTTCTCTCGGGATAGCGTCCTGTCCGTCAGTCCTGTCCTCCGTCCTGTGGCTCGTCGAGACATTCGGCTCTCCACATCGATTATCCCTGTCCCTGGAGGCTCCAACGTGCACGATCACCGCTCGACGGTGAGTCGAACCTTCCTCAATTTATCTCTCGGCGTTTTAAACCGTAAAAGGCTGCAGAGAAGAGGAGTCTTGTCTCGCTGTACTTATAATAAGTACAGTGTAGATCCTCGAGGACCGACTTGTCTTCTCTTTCGTACACGTTGTATATATAATTTTTATAGTTTTTCTCTTTGCTTCCGATATGGGAAAACTTGCTCTCCACGTCGTTGTCCTAAGAAGTGACGTAAATTATTTAATTAATTTTGCAATGGAATTCTTTTTTCTCTTACTGGTATATTCTCTACAGCCTTTTGCGCAAGCCATTTACGAAGTAATTCTAATCGACATAAAACGCTGATAAGCTGTCAATGTCGCGCGCTGCAGCGCGACACAGCATCGTAGCGCGCGGCCAAGATATTTTTTTTTATGTAATAACACGTCCCAAGGAGCCGCCATAAATTCACCGGCACGTTCTTAATTACGCTTCTTGCGCCGATCCTTCTCTTATTAAGCATGTATCAATTATCGGGTGGCACGATCGCGGGGCCCTCTCTTTCTCTTAACGCGGCACGAGAAGATGATAGGTTCCGGAGATGTTCAAGAAGAGCGTCCTCTGCCCTCGTTACTGATCCTCGTTTATATCGTGAACGCGGAGCGATATCCGGCGCGCGTCATTTAGTCCCGATTCCGGCGGTGTAATCAAAGGGATGTACGGGCAGGGTCTTGCGCGTTCCCAAAAAATAATCGTGTCGATTGCGGCGCTGAATCCTCGGCCGAAACGTTATTTACGGGCGATCGAATCGCGACGGCTGCCCTTTCCGCCACTTGGAACGAGAGGGGCACGAAGGGAAGAGAGAGAGAGCAGAAGGAGGAGAAACGATCGATTAAGCATCGAAGTGCGCTCGCACTTTCTCCGATCGCAGTTCCGCGGGAGGGAGCGTAGAAATGGAGACACGGATCGGCGGTCCGGATTACCGTAAAGGCCGGGAACTCGATCTCGCGGTAGGTGCAGGGGAGGAAACCGCGGTAAAAAAAGGAGGGCGGTGTGATAAAGAGCGGGCAAAAAAGGGCGCCATCGGGGCCGGACGCAGGGTCCGGGTTTCGAGTCCACACCCGAGGTAGAATACGGTCGCGCGAGTTTCTTGCGACGACGGGACGAGAGCAGACCCGCAAAAAAGGACCGCCCCGACTGTGCGCTCGCGCGCTTGCGCGCACGTACGGACGCGCAGAAATCTGCAATTATATCGCAAAAAAAGGGAGCGGCGATGTCGCGGGGCAAACTCTGCTTCCTGGCCCGTAAACAATGTCGCCAAATAAGTCGCCGGACATAAATTTCTCCGCGCGCTCGCGTTCTCGATTCTCTCGTGCACGAGGGATATTCTCCCCCGTATTATAGGTTCTAAAACGTACGATAAAAGAAAAAAGCCGATCGATCGCCAAACTTTTTATTCTTGATATTTTCGGATCCGGCACGCTGATACGATAATTTTTTTGCCGTCGCGCCGTCGAGATTGATGCCCGATATTGAATGTATATATTCAGGTTGATATTATGGTATAAGCCAAACGAGACTCGTCCGATAGCCGTTTCGCGGAGAAGTATAAATCTTACAGGACGGGCGAGAAAGAGAGCGGGGTTCGCTTGAGCCTCCGCGACGCGTTTTTAAATTGCTAAATTAGAGAAAATTTATCAATTTTCGCAGGGAGGGACGTACCGCTCGTGTGTAATCGGTATATCGCGGGAAGTTATGACGGGTAAAATATAACACCTCTGTGAAACACGTGGTGTACACGTCTATAATTATATATAATTTATATCCCGCGCCGTTCTTTTTCTCTCACCTTGCGAAATTCACTTTGAGATTGGAAAGATTTCGATCGTGTGCAGATAGCGAAAGAATCCCTCGTCGTTTAAAAGAGTAGCAAAGTGGCATTTGGCCCTCGTAATTTCTCGCACGACGGGCCCCCCCGATTTAATCCGGGCGATTTAGCGACTCTCGCGAGATCCAAGTGAAAGAGAGAAAGAGAGGGTGAGAAAGGGGGATGAAACATACCGCCCATTCGACTCGGAGCGGATGGGAGCACTTGCCGCGTTAACGCTTCGCAAGTAATTACTATGGTCCGGCTAATCTGATCGGATTAATTTTTGCCGGATTCGGCCACGTTCCGTGCGCGGCGGCGATTACATCGAACGGCCACGTTCGCGCTCTCGCACCTGTGGGGTTAACACCGCTAATGGATTCCCCGGATCGCATAATTATGGGGTGCGAAACGCGAGTCTCTTTCTCTCTCGCGCGCCGTATTGCGGCCACGCTTCGATCTTCACGTCTCTCCCTTTCGGACGGGAAGTAATTGCACCGCGTGCTGTACTTATCTCGCGACAGTGATCTTCAAATTTTTCATGTGACAGCATCTGTTTTCTTCTGAAGAAAATAATAAGTGTAAACGATAAAAACTGTATTGATAACAATTCTTTCTTTTGCATTCTAAGTGAATTAGAGTTGAAAAGAGAAACGGATATTGTCTGTCAGGCGCGGGAAGTTAATAATTTTCTCGCGGTACCGTAATTCTTGTCGCTCAAAAATTCGTTCTATTAGCGAGGCAGGTATCGGGGTTAAAGATGAAAATACATCGTTAATCAGATAAGCGACCACGAATACGAAGTATGACAGGTATGGCGGGAATATCTTGCCGACCCGCTTTGAGTACAAGGTGGAGAAAAAGTATCGAGTATAATGTTTGACTTGATAAAAAATTGGCAAGAGTAAGTCTCTATTTATAAAACATGATACTTGAACAGTTGCTCTGAGAAAGATGTACATAAACGTACATTTTTTTCGAATTTGTATGAAAAATTTATCGAATTACGTTCTAATAACGTTCAAACACTGGACGTAAGATCTGTATCATTTTTTCGTGATTGTACAAAAAACCGTGATTTTTTTGTACGATGCTTCAACTGAATTAAGGCATCGTATATTTTAAGACGTGTATTTCTATGGTACATTTTGGATCGTACTTTATTCAACGCGCCGTTGAAGAGCAAAACTCTTATACCGAGACTGATTATTCGTCATGGAGAGGATCGCGAGATTTCTGCAATGTGCACTCGACGAACATCAAACTGCTGCCCGGAGAGGCGATCCTTTGAGAGACGTCCCTCTTCTCTACCCCGTCTTTGTGAGCCGCGGCTAAAAGCACGGGCATATAAAGAGTCAACTTTGTAACAGAACCGATCATAAAGGTAACATCCCCGTATGTATCTTTTCTCCCGTATAGGCATCAGGAGCGTAAATCTCCGTCGTATGAATAACGGCTTCTGACGGCGGCCCTCGCGAGAACAAAGTCGGGGGGCCCATTAAAACGCGCACAAAGTAGCTTCTTGCGAACGCACATTGCTGCCGCTGCCCGTCCCGCTAATAAAACGTTACAAATTCGTCGCATGGGGGGGTAGTTTATGGCACGCGTGAAGCCTTCATCGTGAGGAATCGTCTCGCGGACGCGATTTACGTCCTGTGAGCGCAGTGGCGGATTAAGGCATTTAGAAGCCTTAGGTGTAAACTTTTTTTTGGGGACCCCCTCTATCTAACAAAGATACTAATAAAAACTTAAAATAAAAAATGTTTCTCAGGAACAACGTTCAATATTTATCATTTTAAGTTAATAATGATTAATATGTTTTAATGATAGCGAGCCGAACTTTAGCATTTTCGAAATTAGAAA